CGAATCATATAATAGTCCACTGCTGGACATAGCCCTCTCCTTAGAAAGGCGCATTTGGCTGAGTCTACCATGCTGGCCAGACGGGTTGGTATAGTGTTTGTGTCAAGTTTTCCTTCTCTTTGCAGTGCTGTGGTCCCGCCTAGTTTGCTCCCTTAGTCAGCTCTTACGGCACCCACGGCCTTCGTATTCTAAATCCATCACAGTAAAGTATATGGTAATATAACTTTTAAACCTTAAAAGTGCGGGACAAAAATGATTTTAGTTTTTTGACAAAAGTCATCCTCCTTTGGGTAATCCTGTGAGTCCTATTGCTTAGTCTCTGCTGTACGTCGTTAATTTCATATAAATTTTATGTTGATCTAAGCGTTTTTATAGCACTAATCGTGACTAACGTGGCCGTGATTGGAACGTCGGATAAACAAGAGGTATTGTAATATTTCGCGTACGTAAACTTGACTGGCCAAGTCTTCGCTTCTTAGCTACTAATTGTTTTACTTAAAACCGATATGTATTATAAACATTTATCATAAAGAACATGTTAATAATTGTAAAAAAAAAACAAGAAACCCGACTGCGTGATAATCTATACTTAAAATTTACAAAACTGCCGATTAAATTTTTTATAATTTCAAATACGCAATGTAACTCACAATTAACGAATAAATTACGAGTCTAACGACACCTCAAAAGCTAAATCCATCACAAACAGAGCGTGCCAAAGAAATATACAAGCATACACTCGAAAAACATGACCCTCCTTCTGTCGCAATCGGTAAAAAAAACTTGTAAATTACAATAGCACACAAAAGCTATACATAAGTTTGATAAGGCGTAATTATTTTGATTTTTTTATTTAAATATTTTGAGTACATAAACTGCACTTGAACATGTAGATATTTGTATGTAAGAAATAATATAAACCACGACTAATATTTATTATCTAGTTATTAAAAAAAGGTTTACTATGTATATCATTTAAATATGTTCGTAACAAGCTTATCCTATTACACAGTTACTTTTTTGGTAATGGTAAAAAAGATGTTATCTTATTATAATAAAACTTAAAAAAACTTCTTAGTCTTATAACAAGATTACGAGCTTCTGTCATAGAACTATAAACTTCTGTCCGTGTGCTGAAGGATTAAGAATACGGAGTGTCACCACTCCTATTCATTAAGTGGATGTAGGAAGAGCCCACTAAGCACTACGCAGGACAACAGCACTGCAAAGAGAAGGAAAATTTGACACAAATCCTATACCAACCCGTCTGGCCAGCGTGGTATGGTAGGCCAAAACCTCCATTCTAAGGAGAGGCATGTGTGAAGCAGTGAACAGTAACAATACTGTCATGTAATGTAAGCATATTATTATTGTTACAAGTTTAAAACGTACGCATTACGTACGCTTTGAAATACTATAAGTAATACGAGTACGTTTACCAAAGAGTATGCAGAAGAATTGTTACGTCTCCTTGTACCCACAATTTTGACAGCTGTTAGTATTTTTGGCACTACGTCACTTGATCGAGCGTACCGCCCTCTACGTATCTACACTGCCTTTTAATAAAAGTAATTGCAGTTTCTACTCTGGTCGCGAATTCGAAACTAGGCATTCTCACAGCTATTGAAACAATAACACTTGTAAACGCTAAAACAACCTCTAACGATAATCAAAGAACGACAGTTTTTGTTTTATCGCGTGGAAACCGCCACGAGTCATCATCTCAATGGGCTCATGGTAATGTGGTATTTCGGAATCGAACCGACTAAAACCTAATGTTTAATATTATGTATAAAAGAGCGAAGATTGATATTGAGTTAATTACCTGCCGGCCCGAAACGTCCTTTGTCGGTCGACTCCACTGAGTTCATTGATTCCGTTCTGCGCCCCCTTTGCTCCTATAACGCTAACCAGTTTTAATGACCCCTCTTTCTCCTACAGACCGCTACACTTTATAAATAAAATTGAACGGGCGCGGGGGGCTAAGAAGCTCCGCATGACTGGTCGCCGAATGCTAACATGTGTTTGTGGCATTGGCCTCTACAATCTGTTACAAGAATTTCGACTATAATGTGACAGAATAGAACGCAGTTTTGTATGGAAATGAAAGTAGATTTTTAGAATACACTTTTACTTGAATACACTGCGTAAAGTTGTCAAGAAAAACGTATTAAGTTAATTACATAACATTGAAAATATTGTCATCTGATCTATTTTAATAAAGAATGAAGCTTTTAGGAGCATTTTAGACTTGAAATTTTGTGACAAAGGTTATTTAATTGCGTTCTTACATTATAAACTCTGATGACGTAAGGTCATTGTCCGGTCCGACGACTACAATATGGCCTTTGAATTTAAACTACCCAACAACCTCAAATTCAAAATTCGTAACGTTTACGAAAATTACTTATGACCTTATTAAATTCGCTAAGTATATATCTTAATCTGTTACTTGCATATTAAGTTATATTTAAAAAAGAAACTTATATTTTTGAAAAAATTAGTTGTCTTGATTCTAGATTGAATCTTATATGACGTTTCTCAAGATGGCAGCGATCTTAGTTTAGTAACAGGCGAAACGTTCTAAATTTAAAAATACTAAATGCCTTTTCAGCTTGTAATTAGATTACTCGTAATAAAACGAACTTAAGAATGCCGTATTTTTACAAATGCATCTAGGTATGTTGACTAGTTTTGTGTGTAACCTCGTTTTAATAATGAAATATACGTCATATCAATTAGAGTCTAAGTAGGTACTTCAATTTCTAGCTCTAAAACAGCATCAAAACATCTTTCTCCATAGTTCATTAAAGGTTACGTCTTGGGAGGTCCTCACCTCACGGAGTATCGTTTTCCTCTTAGCACCCCGAAACGAAATCTACAGCGTTCAAATTTACACAGTAATAAATCTAGATTGAACCCGTGTGTTTGTACATCGTTCAATAAAATCGTTCAAAATATTGATATGGCTAGCTTCATCTAGCTGTTAGTGAAACCTGTCGCCAGAGTCGAGTGTCACGCGCTGTTGATCTTGGAAATGTAACTGCCTTTTCTATGACCAGTTCAAAGGAGTAATCTTGTTTTATATTATTGTATAGTTTTATTGAGTTGTTTATTCAATTCTTATGACCGTAATTAGTGTAATCAACCTGTCATTCAAACATTTAAGGTATCTTGATCGTTAGAACACTGCCTTACAAAACCTCAAAAAGTTCAATTTAAATACAATGTAAATAGAAACAACATGTAGCATATATAGACACTCAAATATTTGCGTTAAATCCGTTAAATTCTTTTTAGTAGAAAATCATCATTTTTGGTACTGTTTTATGATGATGTCCATTTTCGTGTTCAAAAACACAAAATTAAATGATATGACAACTAAAATCGGGCATACAAATACAAAAAGAGTGAAGCTCTGTGTAAGTCCTAAGTTATATTATATGTGTAAATAGTTATAACCATATATGCGTAAATAGTTATAAATATAGTTATTTTATACGCTCTAACTACTGAACTTGGGAGCACAGAAAGTACAAAAGTATCTTTGAAACTAAACTGATTAACAAAAATAGATAAATGCGAACTAAGCCTCGATCAAAAGCGAGTGTGAAATAAAATCAAACAACTAAAACGTTGTGAGAGGCTTATCGTAGTTCACAAGTTACACAAGTCGACAGAGGTTAAAGGGCCTAATAGTGGCCATGTTGTACAAATAAGCGAGGGGATGACAAACCAATCATCACACTGTTTTATACAATGATATCCGCAACCGTGTATAAGGGTTTTAAGAAATGTTTTACAACGCACAAAAATTATTTAAGCTCTAAATGGTATGAGATTCTTTTCATTACTTTTTAACCAACTCAAAAAGAGGTTTTGAATGTTAAAAATTCTAATTAAAAAAATGCTTATATAGGAGTACTGTAGTAAACGAATTAGTTAGTCAATTTTAAAATAATATTAAACTGAAAAGAATTAAACTTACTTACTTTACCTACTTAATCAGAATAAAAATAGCTCACTCATAGTGTATAGTTTCGAAATTTAAATTGTGAATTTTTCCTTTTTTCAATCAGTTTTATATTACTTCTTGTACTAAATCATGTCAGCTATGAGTGAGTGCCATGAAAGACAATATACTGTGAAATTAAATATGTAGTAAGCTTCAAAAATAACCGTAGAAGATAAATATTATACGTAAAGCGGTGATTTACTATGTTAGTCTTAGGTGCGATATCAAATTTCAGTTTGATTAATTAAGGCATTATAACAATTTATTCAAACTTTCTACTACGAGTATATATATTCTGTCAAAGGTTTTTTATTCATATAACTCCAAAACTGTTAAAAAGATTTGATTTGTTAGATGCTATTAATTCGTGAAGAAATGTACTTAGCCAAAGTATAAAAATTCAATTGAATCGTAAAAAAAGCCTTTTAAAAAAAACTATATGTTATGCAAGCCCCCTGTCTGCATTACTTATAGTTTTTATAAAACGATTTATCTATCAATGTAGCGGTATCTAATAAAGCTTCGACTAAAATGTTATGATATATTAGCATTAGTTAAATGGCAATGCTAGGGATTAATACGGATCTGAATAAATTTAAAATCACTTTGACGAAATCACTTTTCATTTGTACACATGTGTTACATTTTTTTTTAATCTTTCATACCAAAGACGCAAGACACAAATGTACGTTGTATCCTACAAAAGGGTCGTACCATAGCGAAAAGATCAGAAGTACATTAAGCTACAAGCAAGCACTTCTGATCTTCTGCCAACTATTATATACATAAGTTCTCATGATGTGAAATACCTTTTAAATACATATAAATCGTAACAATAACACACTAGAAGTCGCATAGACGCTTGACCTTGTCGCCGCAACGATGTGGTAACGAACATCATTTACAGAAACTCGCACCATTCGTGATTTAGTCGCGCAGAGCGTCGTACGTGTATTTATATTGTAAAATGGTGAACTGTAGCATAATGAGTTGTAAAAACTCATCAGGAACGTGTAATTCAACTAATAAAGGCATAACATTTCATAGGTAAGTTAATATTTTACTAATAAATCATTGTTTTTACTAATTTACATCTTGATGGATACTTTAGTTAGATATTTGCTTCATTTGTTGCTTTTCGTTTTGTAAAATTACCATTGCTGCTTTTGTTCTTACTGCACGCGATGTTGACAAACTCGCCAAGCGATGTTATGTGAAATATTAGATATCGTTGTGCATTGTGTATGTTTATAATATGGCTGCATGTATCGGTCGCAAGTTAATTATGTAACCGTACCATTCATTTGACTGAAAGTTGAGTTTATATTGATGTTGGTATTAATATATATTTTTCAGATTTTCGAACGCAAAAAAACTAAACGATATATTCACGAAAATTATTCTTAATATACAATAACTTCACTCGGAATTTAATTATTTGTTAATTTTTGCGTCTTTAAATATGTAGCATGTTGAAAAATGTAAATAAAATCTTTAATCGTTCTTCATAAATTTTTATATTATTATTTATTATCACATAATTATAAAAAATTCGTAGATTCCCGAAAGATCCTGATATTAAAGAAAAATGGATGAATATTACTGGTAGACAGGACTGGTTCCCTACAGAAAACAGTCGAATATGCTCAGTCCATTTTACGGAAGATGATTTTGATGTCACTGCTAAAAGACGCAATTTAATGAAATCAAGCATACCCACATTGAATATATGGAAGTTATGCTCTGAAAATGTAAGTTTCAATACTATCAACAGTCGAAATATAAAAATCATGTAAGAATGTTGCATTTAGTTTGCTAATTATTAAAAAAAAGTCCTTATTTCGCTTCATAACCACAATGTATTTATAATAAATCCTTCGTTCTAGCTCACGGAGAATCAGAAATCGACTTCTTCACATATTGATCTTCATACACCCAAAAAAAAGAGGTTACTTCGAATAATTGAGACAAATAAAAGTGTAATTATAAGCCAGCGTTTAAAGATTAAGAGATTACAATGTAAACTACGTCGTTACAAGAAGAGAAATCTAGAACTAACACACATGCTGAAGAGTCTAGAGAACACGCATTTAATAACTGGAGATCAGGCTTCGTCTTTAGAAAACAATTGACCACACAGGATTTGATTAGCAGATATAATCTAAAATTACAATCAGGAAAAAAACTCGTGCTAAATTTTCAGAAAATCTAAGAAGTTTTGCGATTTGCTTGCATTTCACTCTCCAAAAGCTTACGAATTTGTAAGAACACAATTCAACACATGTCTACCTCACATAAGAGCATTAAAAAAGTGGTACCATTCAATTAAAAGGAAAGGCTATTTGTCAACGCTTAGAGTGGGATGGCAAACGGATACATGGCTACGTTAACATAGGCGTAGTGATTTCGATGTTGAGGATAGTTCTAAAATAGCTAAAGAAGTATACGTATTATTAATAACAGCAATTAATGCATCATGAAAAGATCTCGTTGTTTATTTTCTTGTAAATGGATTATCGGGAGAACAAAAGTCAGCTTTAGTACTGTAGTGCTTGGAGCTGCTTCACTCAACGGCAAGTTATCTCCATGGCTTTTGACGGTTGTCCAGCTAATATAGCTCTATGGCAAAAAAAAAAACGGTTGTTCCTTTGAGGTGTATAATATGGTGACACATTTAAAACATCCCCTTACAGTAAAAACCTGTTAGTATTTTCTCGACGCCTGCCATATGATTAAACTTGTTAGGAACTCATTTGAATCTAGTGATAGTACTAAAGATTGTAATGGGAACCAAGTGAAATGGTCACATTCAGTTAAATTAAAAAAATTGCAGGAAAAAGAACATCTTCATTTAGCGAATAAACTTAAACGAGGTCACTTATTTTTTTTAAATCAGAAAATGAAAGTAAGATTAGCAACCCAACTGATGAGCAAAAGTGTTGCAGATGCGTTGAAGTTTTGCTGTTAGTTAAAGTATTTTCAGATGTTAATGGTACAGTAAATTAAAAAAAAAAATTGAACAATTAGTTCGATGTTCGCACGGAATGATTCACGGAATGTAAACCAAAATTATTTCATAAAATCGTTGCATTTTAGAAATAAAGAAAACAGTTAAAAAAATGAAGTTATGAAAGTTATTTAAAACTCTTAAACTTAATGACGGGCACGAAGTAATAAAAACGAATAAAAAAACAGGCTTTATAGGACTAATAACTTATGTAAAGTGAATACACAACTTAAAATAAATATATATTAGAGTAATAGAAGAAAAAAAAAGAAAATTCAGTATCATTTAAGGGTATCCATTTTCACAAGATCACCATAAACTGACTTTTGGTCATATAAGAGCACATGGAGACTGTAAAAACAATCTCATGGTGCGGCAATTTATACATTAATATAAATCTAATTGTTACATGAAGGATCAATTTGTTCAGTAGTACTTTTTTTTTTTTTTTATTTCTCTGAGTTTACGTTTCAAGGATCGCTATGCTCTCTCAAATGTCATTGCATATGGTGTCGTTAGGCATCGATGTACATATGGGTACCTTTTATTTTATTCTTGTCAATCTATACAAACTATAGTTTAAATTTCTCTTTAGATATTACCATTGTTTGCTTTTTTTATTCATTTTAAATATTTCACAAGTGTACGATGTAACCTGGATTAATAATTACTTTTAATTGACTTTTAATGGATATCTTAATATTTATAATAAGTACGATTGATTTATAAGTATCATTACTGTTAAAATATTTAAAAAAATAGAGTTATCTGTGGTTTTCTTTACTACTTATAATCCATTTTATTGTATAAAAACATTTCGAAACCTTCAAAAAATTTAGTCTATCCCTAGCAGTTTACAAATCTTTTTCAAAGTGAGAGGGGGACCCTCTTACTTTGAAAGAGATTGCAGTGGTGCCACATAATACATTGAAGTAAAATGTAATGTAATTTTTGGTGTTTAAGGTTCATAATAGTTTGTGTCCTGTACATTTCACCGTTGTTTTGCAAGTGTGTGCGAGTCTTATATCTATTTGTTTGTATTTTGTGTATGTATTAAGATGTGGCGACATCGGTTTTGGAAGTAATTGGGCGCTAATTCATTTCTAGTGTCTCATTATTACTATTTCTGTGACAATTAATAAACAATACAAATTCTTGTCAGAGAGCGTTATGCCAACACCTAAAAACACAGAACTAAACTGGTAGATTTTCAAAAGTATGCAGTTTTGCAAATGATTTTGAGGTATACTATGTATTTTGACAAGTCTGGTGGCCTAGTGATCATGACTACTAGGCTAGAGCTCATGGGTTCGATTGCCACCCAAGACAAAAAGAAATGTGATGAACACAATTATTTTTCCTGGTTGGGAATCGAACCCACTACTTCTGGTCTAGCAGTCAGGAGCACAACTAAACCAACACACCAATAGAAGTTAAGAAACTCATAAATGTACGTAAGTACATACATGAACCCTAATAAGTACTGACAACATTACAGTCCTTTTTAAAGCAGTCGTGTAAAAACAAATCTGTAAAGAAGTTATATAATTTCACTGACTTTGAAAAAAAAAACAATCGCAGACTATTCAATAAAAAATGTTATGAATAGATTATAAATAAGTTATGGTTATGGACACAGAGATAAGCGAACTGTGGCAACTATTTATCTAAGTATTTGTTGATTGGACACATGACACCAGATAAGAATAACATTATCTAACAAAACTTGATATCAATATGCATTCTTATCGGTGACTGTCGACTCCATGGGGAATAACATATATCTTTTTGAATACAACTTGTTGTAAAAACGTTTATTAAAAATATGGGTATTTAATACTATAGAGGGGCTCGTGGCTAAGTGGTAACCGAGTAAGTCAACACATTGCAAAGTTAAGCAATCCTAGCCAGGTCAGTCTGTGGATGGGTGACCATTCTTAAGACATTTAAACCCTGCCGTGCCTCGGAGAGCACGTTATACCGTCGGGGGCTGACGGATTAACGGTTAGAGCTCTAAAAATTTCGACAAGTCTTTCTACAGAACATCGATAACACCTAGTACTTGGGTTGTGGAGGTCTGAAGACAGTCTCCCCACGTAAAAATTGAAGATCAACCGTGTCGTAGTAGACTTAAATGCCAACACCCTGGTTTGGGCAAAAGGCCCAAAGACAGATGAGTATACAATATCATTTAGTGCTTTAATTCATAGCCTAAACCGAATTTCCTGGAATGACAATAGAATTGTCGTATTAGGTGAGAAGAACAATATTGTAGTTTGCAAAATGTGGTTGTTTAAAACACCTCTGCCAAACCATTTCGAGATACACTCGTTAGTAGATATAAGAGCATAATTTACGAAGGTAGGCTTAGTTATCTTCCTATACTCGTATATGTATAAAATAATAATAATAACTTCAAAGGGTTGGTATAGGGTTTGTTTCAAGTTTTGCTTCTCTTTGCAGTTCTGTTGTCTTGCGTAGTCTCCCTTAGTCGACTTTTACGACACCTACGGGATGAATGAATAGATTTACTGTTAAATAGGTGAAATAGGGTCTTTATGCAGCATCTGACAGCTTATTGGCAACAACGCGTGAGTAAGTAGTAACCCTAACGATGTTTTAATAATAGCAGTTCCCGGAGCCCTCCTATTACAGACGCAGACTGACACACCGTGTGGTTTTAGTCGGTCCGATTCCGACACACCACCCCGCCGTAAACCCCGGTGGGGTGACGGCCCGAGGGGGGTTTCCAGATTTAAAAAAAAAACCTGTTGGCGCCCCTCTCTCCACGACTCACAAATATATAAGTTCACTTGTAGTGTGTACCTGTGTGGTGCTTTTTATTACGTTGAGTTGACGGTGAGCCAACCAGGCTTCCGTATGCTAGGCGCTTTGTGGAGCAAATTTTTATATTTTTAAACATAATATCTATTTTCTGATTTTGGCGCCCCCTGAAACTGCCGCTCAGGGCGGGTGCCCCGGTGTGCCCACCATCCCTCCTAGATCCAGGGCTGCTACGTACGTAAAAATCGAATGATAAATCGTCATTCATTCACAGTTTACTGTGATTTTGTCCCATGTCTAGTTGCAGGTGTCCATGGGCGACAGTAGTTACTTTCCACCAGGTGTCGTGACTGCTCCTTTGCCCCTGTATGCCATAAAAAATAGTTTTTATAGCTCTATCACTTGTATTCCAAAAAAGCAGGTAGGTACAAATGCGCCGTTATCTGAATTGTCGCTTGCGTAGAATAAAAAGCAGCTGTTTATAGCTTTAGTTAACATACAATCGTTTGGTGGTGTCGCCGATTGCCATAGATGGACGAACGCTTTTGAAAGTAGCTTTTATTACTATTTGCTTTTTCATGCATATATCAATTGGGACTTATTGTCTGTTTCGTCACCGTTACTATATAAAAATCTAGGTGCACTGACCTTTACAGCAGTACTATATAATTCAGCAGTATAATTGTAGAATTAATTTAAACACGAAAAAACTAAAGAAAAGTTTATCGATTTGATTTATAAAAATAATGATAGCTTCACATATCTCAGACACGTCAGTCTAATCCCAAGCTAGGCAGTATGTGCGCACCGGTAACCAGACAGCTGATAAACATACTTAATTGCATACATGCTATAGATTAATTAAAGAGGGGTAGGGGTAGGTTTCCAGGATTACTTCTCCTAAGAGCTTTCTAGTGTCGTGTTGACGTTGTCAGACGTTCATGTTTTTACCTACCATTCTCTAACAATATACATCCAAATTTTCCCATCTCAAATTCAAGTGCTATTTTGCTGTGACGATTACATGTTGCTGGAATTGGTCTATTTTTGTAGTTATACTCATGATACACACACATATAATTCTATCACTTGTCTTCAGTTCCATGTATTTATCGCTGAGCACTAGAGTTGTACCGGATATCTACCTGGTGCAAACAAAGGACGGTTGCGAGCCATCGTCTAACTGTTTATAAATATAGTATTTAGCAACGACCTTGTGTCATGCCGGACGGAACCATACCTGGCAAATGGTGCATTGTTTGTAATTAGGGAATAAATTTTAAGGGTAGATTATGACACTTAGTGTAAAATAGGGGAGATAGCAGTGAAGGTAGACTATGG